TATTCTTCTATGATCCTTGGCCTTCTAAACTACTCCTAAATTTTTACTTATTTTTCTATAACCCTAGCTCTCCAAATTTTCAATCAAAATTACTACATGATCTACTATAAATTAAAATGAATTATGGTATCTATGGAGCTACATACAAAACCGTAAGTAACCACGAACGATTTGTATCTCAAATTTTCATTTACTCTTCTATGATCCTTGGCCTTTTAAATTGCTCCTTTTCCACTTATTTGTCTATAACATTCCAGATTGCTTACCAAAATTACAACCTAGTCCACTACAAATCCAAACTTGATACGACGCTTTACAAAACTACATATAAAACACAAGTAATTCGTATTCCAAATTTCCAATTACTTTTTCATCATCCCCAATCTTCCAAATTTCCTACCAAAATTACAATCTAGGTCATGACAAATCCAAACTCGGTTAGACTCTTGAGAAGCAACGAAACCCGAGTACCTGTGACCCCCGTGGTCCTCGGGCCGATATCCCGAAAGTTGACTGGCGATCAAACGGAACGCGAAAAAATTGTTACGTAAGTCTAATGCTGGCGATTAAAAAGTGGGTATTTCGGGGAATGACACGATCCCCGGATTCGTCATTGTCGAGTGACAACGTCAAAGTGCAGGACGGGCTGGTCCGCCCATCCCTAGCATTGTGCCCCTCAAAGCGCTTCGGGATCCATTGTGTCCGGCGACAATTCGACGCGCACACACCCGACAGAGGCAGTGTGGTTGCAATGAGCTCACGAGGTCGTTTAGTGTTTAGAAGAGCGTGTTGCACACACGCCATGGGCGCAACTACTCTCTAAACGAGTGGTTAAACGACGTCGAATGACGATCGATCAACGCGTTCGCAGACCAAAGTTTTCTTTCCGTCTCTCGAGATTCCAATCGAGATTGCCTTCTTTTTTTCTCTCTTTTCAATTTTTTTGTTTTTTTTTTCTTCGTCTGTCAGTCAGTGGGTCGTGATTAATTTATCCGCGCAAAATTGGTCCTGACATTTGAGCAGAGCGTAATCAATTATAATTCTTTTTTCTTTTTTTGTAGGCACAGGGTCAGGAATATTTCATGAAACATGTAAATATTATGTTAGAAAGAAAATATCGTATACTGAAGCCTAGTGATTGGAACGTTACTTCATCTACGAACAAAATGGCGGAAGAACAATTACCAGGTGGAGAAAAACATTGCAATTTATTCCAGAGTATTTCAATCGAGATAAAATTAAGGATCCGTTAAAAAATAATTACCAGGATCTCCCATAGATTTCCAAGATACCACTCAGTCAAGTCAAACAAAAATATCATGGAAATATCGATCCAAAATTTTTCGTACGTATAATACCTACAGTGGAGTATAAATCATTGCGAAATACGGGTGAAACGAAAAAAATTTGTAAAATTGCATAGAAAGTTAATTTAATGGCCATTCGTCCATGTTAGAGCGAGGACTTTATCCGTGTTTCTCATGGCAATTAAAATCGCAAGGATTACAGCAGGAACTCGGCGTTTTTCCTGGACTCGCAGATGATTCCGCGCTTAAGGTTAGGATTTCGCGAGAATCCGGGAAGCAAGTCGGAAAATCCAACCGCGTGAAAGGCGATGGTCGCTGTGAAATGGCAATCGTGCAATTGGCAACAACAGGCTGGAAGAACTTTTAGACCTCTGTTATTTTTAACGCGTTAACTGCTTCAAGAAGCTAACGCGCGCATCTCGCTTGGCCGCGTTTAATAGGCCTCGAAATATGTCGTAGTATCGTGTGCTGGCAAGTTCAATAGGATGTTCCCTCGACTACTCCGACGAAAAAAGACTACGGAAAAGAACGCGAATTTTTCTCTAATTTTCCACATTCTATCGTCCTTTATTTCGATAAGGATGTATTACCTGATTTAAAACAATTTTCTTATCATCTTTTAAATATATAGGGAAATTACTCGTCTCTGTCTAGTAATATAATTATTAATTCCTCGTAATATAATTAATAAAGTTAACAGTTTGGATGCATGAGAAATGTTTAAAGACTCGAATTGCAATGTTTCAATTGCAAGCAGAAATACAAGGAATTTTTTTTATTTTTGAAAAATATATTTGGGCGATTTCTATGATTTTTTATTTATGAAATGCACCATAGATTTCTCGATTTCCTAATTTTTATAAATTAGAAATAATACCAGGAATGTTCTCCAATTTTTAGGATATCCAAAAAGCTTTAGAATTTTCTAAATTTTAAAATACATCACAGATTCGAGAATTCCACAATTTTCCTAAATTTTCGGCGCTACGAAATATCCATAAATTCGTAAGGTATTTGAGAATTTCTCGAGTCTCCAATATCACTGTTCCCCAATTCCCTAGCTTCCAAAACCAACGTATAATTCCCTAATTTTAGATTGCAGAACGTACGAATAATTCGCTAATTTCCGCACGCAAAGCCCACGAATCTTGCGGCTTATCTCTAATTTTTCAGGGACCTTAAGACCCTTAAAACCCGCCGGTTTGCGAGAATACGAAAGGATCTCGAATTGCCAGCGCGTCTCCGCTTCTCCGGACGAGAGAACGCCGAGAGGGAAAAGACGAACGCAGAAACAGAGAGGCCAAGTGGAAAACGTGGGAGGATGCAAATGTTAATAGCCTTGAGTCGATTCCGTCGCAAGTAGGATAGGTGCATAGGTGAATTCACACGTTCGCATACGGACACGTATGATTCATTCACGCTCCATGTTCGAACCCGTTAACTCGGATCGTGGTTAATAAGTATCTCTCGCGACAGAGTATACTCGCTAGTGCACCTGTAAAAATAACATCCCTGATCCAAAACCGTAACCAAACTTCCATTTCGTAATATTATCGCGAGAATTCGATAAATCGGACGAATTGATCACAAAAATGGCACCATTTCGTCGCGTTTTTCGCGGAAAGAAATCGAACGAAAATATTTTTAAAACGCTTTCGTGATCACAGGTACACGGTGATGCAAATGATTCTAATACTTGGTTTAAGGAACATGAAGAAATTAATAGCAATTAGAATAAAATTGGGACGAATTTGACAAAAAATTCGAGCAAGATTCGAACTCGTTTTCTAAGGACAGAAATTAAAATCTGGGAAGCGCATGGATTTTTCCGTGCAATATAAATCAGTGTCCATTTATTTATAGATCCTGAACGTCCGTGACAGTTTGGGTCTGGCCCGAGTATTGTGATCCGAGAATTCCTAAGGGAGATATTATTGGTAGAAACTCTTGCGATATAAATAAAATAGCATAGAATGGAATAAAAATATAAAGAGAAATTGTAAACAAAAATTCCTCTGCTTGTACGCACCCCATGGTCATATATAAAATAATCACCCGAAGTGATTATTACGCGGGAAATTTAAAAGGATCGAAGCGATGTGTTTGATAGATAGCACAAGATCGGTTGAAGGGAAAATATGGGGATTATTTAGCCAGGTTAACTCGCGATAAGAAGAAGTAGAGGAAAAAGAGCGAAGGAGAAAGTCTTTAGCGGAGTATGATCCAAACTGATAGATCACGCCGCGATAATTGTGGATAAAATGTAGGTAACCTGATGTAAGCAACAGGTGGGCGTTTCTATTCCGCGATTACTCTCTCCTTTTATCACTGGCTCGCTCTGTCTTTCTCCAGCTTTCCAATCGCTCTTTCAACCTTCCGGGAAAAACGAGAAAAAAAATAAAAATAAAAAAGAAGAAAAAAAGAAAAAGAAAGGAAGAAACAATTCGTCCATGTCTGATTTACACGGAATTAATCTAAAAAACTTTATCCTCCTCTAACATGTCTCTTTTCTCAAATATTTATCGATATATGCAAATATCATGGAAACGAGTTAAATGACTTTAACACCACGATATTTTTTTACTTCTTTATTATTATTTTTTCTTTTTTTTTTTTCTTTTGGATCAGGAGAAGATTATAAAAATTCGTTGCTTATCGCCGAGCATAAAGCTAGAAAGAATCGGATTAACGAAGGATTAGTGGAAGCCCGAAAATCGAGTTTTCACGGCTGCGAAAATCCTTGTCTTTATCGCTCGAGAATCGTAAACGCTTCTCTATAATTTATAATTATTTCTTCTGTTTTGTTCTTCTCTTTTTCTTATCTCAGGTATCCGAGGATCGCACGAAGAAGATGACAACGTGTTTTTAATATTCATATCTCATTAAGTTACGTGTTTAATGGCGTCGCGAATACGAAGACGCGATGCGATAATTCCGCGATTCGACAGGCTCGGCTCAGGCTCTTCCTGCAACAAAGCTGACCAAGAAACGCGACGAAGACCAGTTCTGTCTTTGTCACGTGTCAGAACCTACGTGACTCCATCGCCATTTTACGCTGATTTTGTTTCTTTCCCTTCCTATTTGTTCCTTTCCCTCGAGTATTTAAAACACCGGCGTTCGCAGCGTGCACGCGGCGCCAATAAGCTTTTCAGCCGGACTCGTCGGCTGAAACCGACCAGCCTACGCCTAATCGACTAGCTGTTACCAACGCGAATAAACTTATTTCCATCGCAAACTCTCTGTCAGACAACAGGTTGCGGAGCAGCAACTCGCGTTTCAGAGTTTCCGGCGCAGTCGCAAATTGAACACTGTCGTTAACACGCGGTACGATTGTCGATGAAATCGAGAGTCTCGAGAGTCGTAGAAGCCACACAAGATTCATGGACATTCGCCTTTTTGAACAACGATCACTGATTCGTCGATCTGAGAGACGGATAAGAATAAAGAGTCGAATCTACATAGACTCTGGGATTCTGGGATTCCGTGTCTCTGAGATCCTAAAGATTACGGTTTCATACGGCGTCTTTCAGTCCCGAAGATGTAAACCAGCCTTAACCTAAAGAACCAACGCGATACGATTTCTATAATCCGAGAAAATCTACGATCCGATACACAAGAACAGCGAGTCGGAGAAAAAGACAAGCCACAAAATGCCAAACATCAGCCCCGAATGTGGAAACACGCAACTCCTACCATTCACGTAGACATGGTGCTGTCTCCAGAGGTGCTGGTACTGGCTCCAACGCGAGCTGGTGCTGTCCTCGTGGATAGACGGAAGCGGCGCGTGCACCTGATGGCCGTGCGAGGTGGGCGGTAACGGTGGTGGCGGTGGTTGCTGGGGTTGCTGTTGGTGCGCAGGCGCTACCACGATGTGAGGATGGGGCGGTTGCACCGGTTGCTGCTGATGCTGCTGGTGATGCGCCTGGTGCAGCGGTACCGGCGGTGGCACCAATTGCTGGTACTCCATAGCGCAGCTCATCCGGTTCCCTTCACCCGAGCATTTAAATTCTCCCCTTGCCGTCTGTCTCACCCGCTAGTCCCGAGGAAGACGTGGTCACTCGCGATCGAACGGGATCTCGGGCAACGTTGAAACGCGATGTTCCCGTACTCGAACTCGAAGCCAAAGGTCTCCTATTGGAACCAACGAACGAGAGCTGGTCCGATCGAAACGATTATTCGACCAGCGACACTGTCGTCCGACGTGGATAGCCTCAAGGAGAAACAACGGGAGACACTACCGAGGCTTCGCGGTCGCCACTGTCCGTTTGTCTCTACATCTGCGCGTAATTTTATCCTCTCGCTGTCATCCGCGCGGTCTTTTTGCGCTGCCACTGGACGGACACTTGTCACCAGACCGAGGATCGTCGGCAGAGAGGGAGAGAATCGGAGAGAGGACGAACCGAGGGAAAACGGAAGCCAAGGTCGAAGGACCAGTCCTTCTTCGTCGTGACCCAACACTGGACGGTCCCTCTAGACCGATTTCTCTCGCCGGAGAACGGCCGAGTCCGAGACTGTCAGATGCCTAGGAACGGACCCCGACACCCGCCACGTGATCGGTCCTCGATTCGACCACCCTCTTCCTTCTTCCTCTCTCTCTCTCTCTCTCTCTCTCCCTTCCTCTCGCAACGATGTCCTCGACCGTGCAGCACCAGGTCACACCGAATGTTCCGGGAACCGACGGGGATGGTGGAACCCGGTCCTCGAATGATCGCGAAGCGCGAGTCTCGGCGAGCGAACACGATCGACCGACCCGACGAGCGAACTCCGAGTCTCTGATCCTGGCGCCGGAAGGACCGGGGAGAGCAGATTCAGGCGGCCGGGAAGGAGAGTAGGCAGCAACAGCAGCAGCAGCACGGTGTACTACTATCGTCGTCGTGTGTCGACTGTCAAAATCAGCGATCGTCAGCGTCTATCCGTGGCCGGTGTTCGCCCATTGGGCCGTCACCGTAGCCGGAAGCGTAGCTCCGATTGGCTCCCTGGCCGCGTTCCTAACGGTGGGGGAGAGACGATCACGCGCCTCGACGTCGTCCTGAAAGCGGAGTTCCGACCAGGAGAGACAGCACGAGGAAGGGCAGAGTTGGAGCCAGCAAGGGAACCAGACAGACAGAAAGAGAGAGAGAGAGCGAGAGGGATAAACGGACGAAAGGGAAGAGGAACGGAGATAGAGAGAGAGATGTAGGAGTTCCGAAGAGGGAGGGTAACTATCTAACCGGGAAAGAGAGAGAGGATGTACATGTGTGTGCACATACGTATGTATATACGTACGTACACCTACACGTACGCGCGTAGATATCAGAGGGGTGGTAGAGGGGGTAGCTCGGGAGCGAAAGAGAGACGAAGAGACGGATAGGCGGATAGACGGACAGGTAGACAGGAACGAATAAAAAAAAAGAGAGAAAAAGAGAAAGAGAGGGAGAGAGAGAGGGAGAAACCGTGCGTGCGTGACTCGAAGCTGCGGCGTCCGGAAAGACACTGCCACTCGCGAGCGTTCCTCCGTTCCACACCGCTCTGTTTCTCTCTCTTCCCTCTCTCTAGACCTCGAGCGTCCCTCCCGCGGCGTCGCGACGTTTCTCTCGCGCGCGCACACGCGCGCGTACGTGTGTGCACCCGCGTGTTCCCTCCTCCATCGTTGGTACCCGTCGTCTCCTTTGCGTTCGCCAAACATCCGCTTTTACCCGCCCCCACCTCCCACCACGCACCCTCTGCTCGCTCTCCCTCCTCGCGAGAGTGTTACGCGCGCACCGTAAGATTCTCCGACACTTCCTCCTCCGTGGATTGCCCGAGGTCTCCGTCCTTGTCCCGCGGGGACCGATGCCAGATCCCCGGTTCGAGTTCCTCACGGACAGACGACGACACCCCCTGGCGGTAGCCGACGTTCTTTCTACGCTTTTAACGGACCACACCGAGACCTCGCGGTTTTTCCTTTTACCGTTTTCCACGCCAGCCTCTTTTTCCTCCGAGAACCACGGCCAATAGGCTTCGCTCCAACGGCGCGAATGGGGCTTCCGCGTTCGACGCGGTGAAACCCCGGGACACGCGGCTCTTCCTGGCTGCTTTAAAGCGCCGTCGAGGACGACGCTGATTTGTCAGCTGGTTTCTAGGTCTTCCAGGAGGTTTTAACAGTGGCTCGGGTTTTGGAGCTTGCTTCTCCGTGTTCGGGAAGCGGTTCCATTGATTTTTCTTCGCTCACAGTTAACCTAACCTAACCTCACCAAGATTTGCCTATGCACGCGTTAGAGATTTGTCCACGTTTCGGAGACATCGCTGTCGAATACGAGTTTGCACGTGGATATCGGGAATTTTCTTAGAAGCTAATCGTTAAGCTCCGGGTGTCATATGGCATTTCTGGCATAGCACTCTGAGACTTGGCAAGGGAAACGTTTCACGTGCCAGGTACGTCATTTGACGCCAGAGCACGACTAATAATTTCGAAGAAATTTTCAATAGAGATTTTTTAGAAAATTCGATAGAATTTCGTAGAGCGTGAAGATGGTTGTATTATTATTTCGTATAACCTGTACCGCGATGAAGGAATGGTAAGAGCTCGCGTGGGTATAATGATCGAGCGAATGCGATCCGATGTATTAACGCAGTTGCGAGGATTCGATGATTGAAAAGTGAAAACGGAATGACCCACGAGTTCGAGGAATTCCTCGAGTCATTTACGATATCTCCACTCTGTCAGCGTCTTTCCATCTCTTTCTCAATACCCCCATAAAAAGGAACAACCTAGCTTGTAACTTCTGTAATAACCAAATTCAAAGAAAATTAATTATGACAGCCAATTAGTGGAAAATCTCTGAAATTCCTCTCGGAACCCAGGACTGTCAAAATTGAAAATTGACAAATTAATTATACCAAATTGACATTGTGAATTTTCTAAAATTAACGAAGACAACTTGCAATTAAATAATTTAACATTTATTCCAGTGGATTTCGAGGATTCCAGATGGAGAAATTTTCGTGAATTTTCTCCATCTGGAACCCTCGAAAACCCACTGAAATAAACGTCAAATTAATAATCCCAAGTTGACATTACTAATTTTCAATAATTTACGAAGATTTATCCATTTGAAACCCTCGAAAACCTAATGGAATAAACGTCAAATTAATTATCCCAAGTTGACGTTGTTAATTTTCGAAAATTCACGAAAATTTCTCCATTTAAAACCCTGGAAAACCCACTAGAATAAAGGTGAAATTAATTATCCCAAGTTGACGTTGTTAATTTTCGAAACTTTACGAAAATTTCTCCAACTCAAATCCTCAAAAACCCACTATAATAAACGTTAAATAAATTATCCCAAGTTGACGTAAATTTTCGATAATTCACGAAAATTTCTCCACCTCAGATCCTCAAAAGCCCACTATAATAAACGTCAAATTAATTATCTCAAATAGACGTCGTTAATTTTCCAAAATTCACGGAAATTTCTCCATCTGAAACCCTCGAAAACCTACTGGAATAAACGACGAATCAATTATCTCGGTTTCTTATCAAAGCAGACCGAGCAGAGGCCGAAACTTTCTACCGGCAAGAAGCAGAGTCGGCGGGATGAAACAGCATCCGTGGTCAAAAAGCAGGATTACGACACGTAGACGGTGGTTTTAGCTGAGGAGCGTGGAAAGATCTGGTCCACTGGGTGACTTTCCGTTTCTACGGCGTGACGGGTTAGAAAAAAGGGAAAACTGGAACGACGACGCGTCTCGGATGGAGAGGACGGTAGGTCGTCCCCGTTTTCTATGTCGGATCGACCCACTTCCTGGTGCGTGGTTCGATCGTGACCGATCCATGAAATTAACGGTAACGGAGCGGCCGTACTCGCCGTGTAAAATCGAAAGTGGCGAAATACCGCGACGCCGTGGCGTTCGAGAGGGGACAGGACCGTTTCATGGTGCCCCTAGGTGGGGAACAGAGAGAGTTCCCTTGCTGCTCGAAGAAAGATTCTAATGGCCACGCACGGCTCTGTCACCTTCCTCTATTCCCTAGCTCGCTATCAACGACCACGATCGTCCACTATTTCTTTTATTTTCCCAATTAACTTCGTCGAATATTTCTCCAATTTATTCCATCGTCCTTCGACAACAAAAATTTAATTTTTCACTGACGAATCGATACAACCTGGAAGAGTGTCCTCAACTTTGTTCGAGTTCAGTTTCAAGTAATGAGAGAAAGTATATTTTACAAATGTTGCACAGTTAGAACGCGGAGGTCTAGAGATCTGGAGGTCAATTTTGTTGCCTCTTCCGTTTAATGTTTAATGTCTCCATTGTTTCGAACGATAAGAGAAAGTGGTCGTTTTTTCATCAAAATCGCGCGATTAACAATTCCTCAAGGTGGAGATGTAGAAATCTGGAAGTCAACGCTGTCTTTTCAATTCCGTTCGCGTTTAACACCGCCATTGTTTCGAATACTGCGAGAAAATGTTATTTCCAAACGTCGCCTGGTTAAACTACTCGCGTTCGACATCTCCATTCGTGCAAGCACTAAAGAAAATAATTTCCACAAAAATAGCATAACCAAAAGATCGCCACACGTTGAAATACGAAAATCCAAAGATCGTTTACCATTTATAAACGATAAATATCCCATTTCCACGCTTAAATTCGACGAATTCAGCTAAGCTATTCACCCAAAGACACACTGATCCTAGCATATTTCCGTGTATCAAATTTTTCGAACTTTCTCCAGAAACACGTGCACCCGATCTTAAAGCGAAGATATCATTTCGATCTCGCGATCGACGAGGAACTCGTTAACACCGGACCATATTGAAAGCAGAAAGACCGAACCTCGCGATCCTTCCTGCCATTTGTAAAATAATTTCCAATTAATTTGCCTGTGAAGGAATGTCCGCACCCCTTTATTCGCCTAGTCCGGTTGCAGAGGAAAAGAGAAGAAAGGAAGGCGAAGAGCGATCGGGAGGATCGGTTTGGCCAGCTGGGTTCGAAGAAACGAGTCTCTTACTTCACCGGACGACTTGGAAGAGTTCCCATTTCGTTTTCGTTCGCATCGACGACCTTTCTCTTCGTCGCTCCCTCGCCGGAGAAAGGGAAAAAAAGCAACGGAGGAGGGAAGATGCCGACGTTAATTCTGCTGGAACCGGCATAAAGCTCTGAATCACCGGTGAACCGGTCCCGTACCGTAAACGCGATGCCTGTTGTGCGAACGCGGAAACCACGAGGAGGCAGCAGTCTTCGTGCGGGTCACGGAAGGATTCCTTTCTCCTTCTTCGTCCTCGTCCTTTCTTTCTCCTCGTCTTCGCCATTCTTCGTCTCTTCTTTCTCTCTCCGTTTTATCTATTCTTTTTATTTTTACTCCCCATCCTTCTCCGTCATTGTCTCTTCTTTCTCTCTACATCTCTGTTATCTTATTTTTATTTTCGCTTATTTTCACTAGCTATCCTTTGCCGTTGTTATCTCTTCTTTCTTTCTCCATTTTCTATATTTTTTTTACTTTTACTCGCCATTCTTCTCCATCATTGTCTCTTCTTTCTCTCTACGTCTCTGTTATTTTATTTTTATTTTCGCTTATTTTCACTAGCTATCCTTTGCCGTTGTTATCTCTTCTTTCTCTCTCCGTTTTCTCTATTTTTATTTTTATTTTTACTCGTCATTCTTCTCCATCATTGTCTCCTTTTTTCTCTTTACGTCTCTGTTATTTTATTTTTATTTTCGCTTATTTTCACTAGCTATCCTTTGCCGTTGTTATTTCTTTTTTCTCTCTCCGTTTTCTCTATTTTTCTTTTTATTTTCACTCGTTATTCTTCTCCATCATTGCCTCTTCTTTCTCTCTACGTCTCTGTTATTTTATTTTTATTTTCGCTTATTTTCACTAGCTATCCTTTGCCGTTGTTATCTCTTCTTTCTTTCTCCGTTTTCTCTATTTTTCTTTTTATTTTTACTCGTCATTCTTCTCCATCATTGTCTCTTTTTTTCTCTTTACGTCTCTGTTATTTTATTTTTATTTTCGCTTATTTTCACTAGCTATCCTTTGCCGTTGTTATCTCTTTTTTCTCTCTCCGTTTTCTCTATTTTTCTTTTTATTTTCACTCGTCATTCTTCTCCATCATTGCCTCTTCTTTCTCTCTACGTCTCTGTTATTTTATTTTTATTTTCGCTTATTTTCACTAGCTATCCTTTGCCGTTGTTATCTCTTCCTTCTCTGTCCGTTTTCTCTAGTTTTCTTATTTTCACTGACAATCCTTCTCCGTTGTCGTCACCTCTTTCTCTCTACGTCTCTCTTATTTTCTTTTTATTTCCGTTTATTTTCACTAACGATCCTTCTCCGCCGTCGTCTCTTCTTCCTCCCTCCATCTTCATTGTATTTTATTTTTCTATTTTATTTTATTTTATTTTTGCTTTACGACTTATCTTCGTTCCTTCCTCCTTACACTTGCTATCCTTCGTTTCTTCTTTCTCTCTCCATCTTTTTTATTTTTCCATTCCTTCCCGTTTATTTTCA